GTGCGGCCGCATGCGCGCGGGGCCGTGCTTGCAGAGCTGGGGGTGCTTGAGCGTCGGGTCGAGCCGCTGGCCGCAGACGTCCTCGCCGTAGCCACTCCCGACCTTGCGCGGCATCCGGCAAGTGGCGCCCGGCGGAGCGGTGAGGGCGCCCAGGCGCCGCATCGTCGCAGCCCGGAAGTAGCTCGTCGGGAAGTAGTCACACGGCCGCGCGGGCTGCTGCGACCACAGCGCGCCAGCGCCGGGGCCCCCGGCTGACAAGAGGCCCTCCTGCCGCTCCTGGCCGAACGCCCTCCACAGCCGGGTGGCCTCCAGAGCATCCAAGTGGCGGAAGATGCGGCTGGCGTACCTGCGGGGCGCCCTGGCGGGAAGACCGCTCGGCGCGGAAGCCGGCAGCGACACCTCCGGGGTGAGCTTCAGGGCCCCCAGGTCGTCGACGGCGACGTCTTGTGCCCACGGCCCGCCGGCGTACTCCGCGCGGGCGCCGGGGGCAAACTTCACGCCGCCCTGCCCGTCGACGAGAACGCCCGCCAACTCCAGGCGCTGCCGGGCCTGGAGAGCCTCTGGGCCACCCGAGCACGGGGCGCGAGCCATGCCGAGGCCGCCAGCGAGCCACGGGATGCGGTGTTACATCGTGGTCCAGGCCGCCCAGAGCGCAGCGTCAGCGATGCTGCCTTCGGCCTCGCGGCGGAGGCCGAGACCCCCGAAAGCGCCGGCCAATCGCAGTTGGGTGAGAGCCTGCTCGTCCAGCTGCCTGGCCAGCACTGCGTCCTGCTCCTGCTCCTGCTCCTGCTCCTCCTCCTCCTCCTCCTCCTCCTCCTTTTCCTCCTCCTCCTCCTCCTCCTCCTCCTCCTCCAGATCCTGCTCCTCCTCCTCCTCCTCCTCCTCCTCCTCCCCCTCCTCTACCCTTCCAAAGGGGCCACCAAAGCCTTCAAGGGCCACCCGCTTCGATTGGAACAGGAAACTTCATGCAGCTTGGGATGGGCGCGGCCCAGGGCACGCTGCCGCATCACTCACTGGACGACGCAACAGGCCGCCTTCTTCTTATGAGCAGCACTGCACCGGGAAGGGGACACGACCCACCTCCCCCGCTGAAACCGACGGAATCACCCGTCCAAAACCTCTCGGCCCCAGTGATGGCACTGTACCCGCCACCGTGCCGTAAGCACTGGGTAGAGTGTCCTCAAGGCTCCACACGCACGGGACACTGTACTGGGTAGCGCCAGTGCTCGTGCACGCGCGTGCGCACGCGTGCCGCGCGAGTTCTGCTGTCGCTGCTGGCACGAGGGAGAGGGGTCCTGGCGGGAGCAAGCCCTGAACCCCAGGGCCTTCCCCGAGACCTTTCTTCATCCTCGATCGTTTCTGGCGGCCCCGTTGGCCCGGGGAGGGCCTCGGGAGCCTGAAGCTGGTGAACTGCCTCCGGGAGCCCGTTCCTCCCAGACCCCCGTGTTTCATGGTGAGCGCACGTGCTCCCTCCGCTGCTCGCTTGGCTCTGCTGGCTGCTCTGAGGTCCCTCACTTGGCTCGACACGCTCGGGCGCCCCCTCACGGGCACAACGGGCCTCCGGTCGCCAGGGAGCTGTGACCGCACGAGTGCGCATCTGGGGCAGGAGAGTCCAACATCGAATCGAAAAGTGGATTCGGCGATCGAAATTAATCGGATCGGCGGGAATCGGCAGCCGAGTCGGGAGAAGTCGAATCGGAGGAAATCGGCAGGCTTATATGCCTCCAGTAATGAATCGGAGCCCGCATCGGAATCCCAAGTCGAATCGAATCGGCATCGGAGGCCATCGAAGTCGAATCGCATCGAATCGGAGGAATCGAAACGAGCCCTGCTGGGGGCGCATGGTGCTGCTCATCACCGCTGCCACCACCACCAGCACCCTCGCCGCCACCTTCTTGGCGGCGCAAACACGAGGGGGTGGGGGTGGCGCGATGGGAGCGGCACTGCAAGAAGGCGCGGGGGCCCTTCGGAGACAACCCCCTCCTTCTGGGATGCCCTCCGAATGCTCAGGAGGCCGCCCCCTGGAGCCGCCCCGTTTTGCGCGCGCCGCCAATCCACCCATCACTCTCCTCGTAATCGTCACCGTCGTCGTCGTCGTCGTCGTCGTCGTCGTCGTTGTCGTCGTCGTCAGCGTCGTCAGCAGCAGCATCAGCAGCATCATCGCCGCCATCATCACCATAACCATCACCACCACCATCACCATCACCATCATCATCATCATCATCATCAGCAGCAGCATCATCACCATCATATAATCATCATCAAACTCATCATCATCATCGCCACACCAACCACCACCACTGTCATAATCATCATCATCATCAGCACGGGTACTATGATCACCATCATGAACGCCACCATCATCATCATCATCATCATCATCACCATCGCCCTCCTCCTCCTCCTCCTCCTCACCATCACCATCACCATCAACATCATCATCATCTTCATCACCACCACCACCATCACAACCACCACCATAACCACCACCACCACCAGCACCAGCATCAGCATCAGCATCAGCATCATCATCACCATCATCAGCAGCGGCATCTGCATCAGCATCATTAACCTCACCAGCATCATCATCTACGCCATCAACATCATTATCAGCATCATCATCATCATCACCATCGTCATCACCATCATCAGCATCAGCATCAACATCAACATCAGCATCAGCACGAGCATCAACATCCTCATCATCCTCACCGTTCTCACCATCATTATCATTATCATCACCACCATCACCATCACAGTCTTCGTTGTAAGCATTGCCATCGTTGCTGTGGTTGTCATCATTGTCATGGTTGACACCATTCCCGTTCTTGTCATCATTGCCATCAATACTGCCACCTTTCTCACTCATAATCGTAATCACAGCTGTTGGAAATGGGCACGAGTCCTCGAGGTCACTCTGCAGCTTATCCAGGTCGCCCTGCGCCTTATTCAGGTCGCGGAGCACCCGGTCCAACTGCGCCTGCAGCTCCTTCTCCTCGGATCGCCGACGAACGGGGCACTCTTCCTTGCTCCCTCCCCCCTCTGTCGTCCCCCACCCCCGCGGAGGAGGATGAGGAGGAGGAGGAGGATGATGAGGAGGAAGAGGAGGAGGAGGAGGAGGACGAGGAGGAGGAGGAAAAGGAGAAGGAGGAGCAGGAGGAGGAGGAGGAGGAGGAGGAGGAGGAGGAACGAGGAGGAGGCGGAGGAGGAGGATGAGGAGGAGGGACGAGGAGGAGGAGGAGGAGGAGGAGGAGGAGGAGGAGGAGGAGGAGGGCGAGGAGGAGGCGGAGGAGGAGGATGAGGAGGAGGACGAGGAGGAGGAGGAGGAAAAAGGATAATGAGGAGCAGGAGGAGGAGGAAAGGGAGGAGGAGGAGGAGGAGAGGAGGAGGAGAGGAGGAGGAGGAGGAGGAGAGGAGGAGGACGAGGAGGAGGCGGGGAGGAGGAGGGAGGACGAGGAGGAGGCGGAGGAGGAGGTGAGGAGGAGGAGGAGGGAGGAGGAGGACGGAGGAGGGGCGGAGGAGGAGGATGAGGAGGGAGCAGCAAGAGAGGAGGAGAAGAAGAGGCGTAGGAGGAGGAGGAGGAGGAGGAGGAGAGGAGGAGGAGGAGGAGGAGGAGGAGCAGGACGGAGGAGGAGGAGGAGGAGGAGGAGGAGGAGGAGGAGGAGGAGGAGGAGGAGGAGGAGGAGGAGGAGGAGGGGAGGAGGAGGAGGAGGAGGAGAGGAGAGGAGGAGGAGGAGGAGGAGGAGGAGGAGGAGGAGGAGGAGGAGGAGGAGGAGGAGGAGGAGGAGGAAGAGGAAGCTCTGTAGCCATTTTGGCTCATGACTTTCCGTAGGCCCGCCGCTCCTGGACTCTTCCTCGGCGTGCCCTGCGACCCCAACCCGTCGTCCTGTCGGGGCAATGCGGCTGGCGTGAGGGAGGGGGGAGCGGGGCTTTGGGCTCACGGGAGCATGGAGCGGGAAGATGTCCACGGTGGTGTCTGGAAGCGTTCGCATGCCGAACGCGGAGCTGCTCGGCAAGCCGCTCAAACCAATGCGGAGGCCGCACTGAGACGTCTTAGCGTCGAGAGGGGCGAGCTCAAAGGGAAGCCGGACCATCTCCTGACGGCCACCGCGATAGCTTTGGATTTGCCTGCTGCTGTCGCCGATCGGGTTGTTGCGTTAATTGCCTGCCTTGTCAAACTGGTTGAAGGCATTCGACCTGAGCACGAGGATTGTCTTAGACGCAGTGATACACTGCATGCACTGGTCCCTGGGGTGAAGATTTCTCGCGCAGGCGGTAAGGCCTTACGTCACGCCCAGCAAGGTACTCGTCTCGAGTCATTGCTTCATGTTGAACACGTTCCTGGCTCTTTCTGCTGGAATGGTGGTGCTTCGGTGTTTGTCACGGGAGCAGCTGCTCATGTCTTAGCGACAGAGGTCGAGGCTGTTGTTCGCCTGGGGTCCGAGATTGCCCCCGTCCTCCGTGGCGAGTGGGAGCCCATCGAAAGCAGCACCGTTGTGCTCGCTCAGCATCAGTCCGTGGAGTCCCGCCCTTCCATTGGCGATGATGCAGATGGCGAGGGAATGAAGCTGGCACCATGCAGTGAGACGAACAAAAACGGTACCGAAGAGTATGAGCCACAAGAGCCAGCGAGCCAGGGTACGGAAGCAGCGTCAACGCCTCCTTCGATGCCTGGCCTTTCTGTGCTGTCCGTCGAGTTGGAGTCTGAGTTCTTGCAAGGTCGTGGAGCTAGGCAAGGGAGGTCCAGTGCGGTGGGGCAAGATTTGTGCTGGGAGGAGGCCAATGACCTCGAAAAAGAAGATCGCCTTCGACCATGGTGTACGTCGTGCGGGTACGCTATCCCGTGTGACAGCAAGCTTTTTTAGTGTCGGAAAAAGGTGCGAATATTATTTCTGCGAGAAGTGTGTTCACCCGGAGCTACGACGGCCAGAATTTCATCACAGGCCGTTCGCCTCTCTTGGGGCTGTTTCTGATGTTTCTGATTAAGTATCTCAGGGCCTATGCTTGCGTCGGAGTGGCTGGACACGTTGCGACGTGCTGTGGCATGCGTATGTACGTTCAGAGTTTCGACGTCCAGCAGACTGGGTTCCTTGTCGTGCAGTTCAGGCAGCCCCTGGAGGTGGTGGAATGAATCGCATAGGGGGCTCCGCAATGTGGACTCAGCCCTTAAGATAGGTGAGAGGTAAGAGGAGGAAGAGCAGGAGGAGGAGGATCAGGAGCAGGAGGAGCAGGAGCAGGAGCAGGAGGAGGAGGAGGAGGAGGAGGAGGAGGAGGAGGATCGAGTATCGAGCTATTCGAGGTAGTCGAGAAGCACACTAAAGGTGGCTTAGCTGTTCAGAATTGCTAAGGAGCTTAGGCCACTTCCCCTGGTCCAGTCGATCAAGGTGCGCGCCTCGATGAGCGGGCATCTGGTAATCACAAGGCTTAGACAAGGGTCGATTATGCTGGCTACCGTACTGCCCGCAGTGCCTGCAAAACCACACATTACTCGCAAGCTGTAGTCTCATCGCATGCGTCGGATCGACCCAACCCCCAACTATATGGAGCCGCCCCCCCGAGGGATTGCTGCATATTTACTATCAAGGGTGACAGGTGGGAAACCATCCGGCTTCCACCAGAGAGTCTGAGTGGCGAGAGTAGCCGACCCCTTGCCCCGAAGACGACGCTTGCGATCGTCGCTCAGCCAATGGGGTGGGCTAGAAGAGGCGAGGGAAGCAGGGGCGGGAGGGGGAGGGGGAGGGGGAGGAGGATCCTTGCTACTCACGGCGCCGTTCCCACCCCGCTCCACGGCCTCCGGCGCGTCCGCATCGGCGCGCACGAGGCGGTGGCGGACGAGGCGGGCCGTCTTCTCAGCCTGATGCGCCCGCGACCGCGCCTCGTCGGGGACGCGGACACGGCGGGCCGCCTCCGCGGCCGCCACATCAGCAACAATATTGCCCTGGACAAGCCAAGATGGGATCCCGCTGGCAACAAAATCCTCTGCAGAAAGGTGAGAGGAGAACAGACAGCTGGGCAGGGCGGTCTTGCAACTTGTTCCCCAGGGATAGCCGCGGGTCAGCATGGGGCCCAATGGGCCGCTTGTGCATCCAGAGTAAAATCCCTAGGCCACGGCTTCGTTGTCAGTGACATAACAGACGAAACCACGGGTGCACTTGTCCTCGGGGTACTGACTGGTCCCTGCCTTGCCCGCCAGGGGTCCGCTCGCCGACGATCGGATAAGGCAAGGCTCGAACGAATCGAAAGCGACAATGGCAAGACGAACTCGAGTGAGCCTGTGATCCCCTGCATTGCGGCCTCCGCTGGCATCGCCGAAAATAGTCATGGGTTCCAGAGCCGGTCCCGATCCAAGACGCCCCTCATGATCATTGTGCTGACTGCCTTGGATCTGCCAGTCCTCTGCAGACGCAGGCGATGGCGCTGCAGTCCATGCTGCAGGGATAAGCCCGCGCAGCCAAAAGCAGGCTTCCGCCTCTGCGCGCGCATGCGCTGCCGACGTGAGCGAATCGGAGTCGGAAAGTGAGCAACGCCAGAATCGATGGAAAGGGGTCTCGGGTTCCACCGGACACCTCGGACATGCAATTTCCTGAGCTTCCCTTTCAACTCGGCGGACGCCGGGCCAGGAACCGCCCGTGGCAACGGCGACGAGCAGCTCGCTTAAACGATCCCCATGCGGGGCGACCAGTAGGTGCTTTAGCAAGCGACGTAGTGAATAATTGTCCACCCCCCACTGCACTTCCTCGCCATAATAATGTTGGGCTGCGACTGCCCAAAGGAGGCCCCAAGAGGCCCCAAAACGGCCCCCAAGAGGCCCCAAAACTCGGCTAGCCCACAACGGTGCGACAATATGGGCCGGCGGAATGAGCGAAACGATTAAATAATGTTGGGCTGCGACTGCCCAAATTTGGTTCCGGATGGAAGCGTCGAAGTCGTCCAAGAGGGGGCCTGGGTTATCCTCGATCATATTTCCAGTAAGCTTCGAAGACGGAAAACGCCGCGCTGTATGATCTCCGCATCCTTCAGCTGGGGCGTTCCAGTGGGAGGGCTCGACGGGGTCCCGACCTGCCTGAATCAAATGCAACGTGACCCCTCCCGTCGGGCCTCGAACGCATCTGGATCTCTGGCTCTCAGGAGTACGGCGAAAACGTTCGAGAAACTTTGGCCACGCTTGCTATGTGCCTGGCCTAATGGGCGGCAGCGAAAGCCACTGGCGGAGCCAGAGGTCGAGACGTGCTCGCGGCGGCGTGCGTGCTGAGTCCCCTCCAGGGCAGCGAAAGTCCAGTAGAGTAGTCAGGCTTCGCCCTTTCTTCCCCGTCCCACATGCTGCTAGCTGCCGTCGTCTCGTAACGCTGTGCCGGCGAGCTGCGCGAGCGAAACCAGCGACCTTCCGATGCATAGCCTTGCCCGTCACCACCCGTTTGGTACGAGTTTGACGAGCATGACGGGCACCGCCTCCCATATCCCTCCATGGGTGGCCTGTTTGAGATGGGGTTTCAATTCAAAGCCAGCAGCCCTAAGTTTCTGAGATATGTGCCTCGTATCGGCAATGTTGGAGCATGAAATAATGCGCTGGTCGGTGAAACAGTCAACGATTCATGCTGCAAAGCATGACGCGTGTCCAGGAGCCCTGCCAACAAGGTTCTTCGCAACTTGACGGCGGGGCGCACGTGCGCGCTAGGGCAGATCGTCAATCCAGATCCTCGAACCCATTCCTGGATGTGCCATGGTGATGTTTGATACTCTATAGCATGTCAAACACCTTGCGAAACGGATCCCACCTCTAAACCCCTGCGCAATGCTCCTGGTCGGTTGTATGGGCTCGGCTAAAGCTCCACTTTGGCCTGCAGTCCGAGGCGTCAAGCACAGTGCCAGTTCTACAAACAAACCACGGGTGGAACGCCAAGCCGCATCGCAGCAGTCATAATCAAATACCATTCCATCGCATCGTAAAGCTCCTGGCTGTCCAGAAGTCCATGGCCCGAGGGAATCCCTAAAATGCCAGAGACCTCCTCTTCGCAAGCTCTGATAAAAGCTTCGTGTAAAGCAGCATTTCCCAATGTCGCAGCATCCCACATGGTCTCAGGCTCCATGGTCCAAGTCTTAATTGATTAGCGGCTCGCGTTCAAGACTCCAGATTATCGCCGCCATCACGAGTGGCCTTATGACCCTGTCGCCAAAGGTTTTCTTTGGAATCGTCCTCCCTACTGTTGGGCCCAATTGTGCTGGCCATGTGAGGGCCTCCTCGATGGCGCGATGCAACTGCGACAGTTCTGCTGCGAGCGCAGCGTCGGGCATCCGCTCGACGTCCGTCGGGGACGAAACGTCAACTGCCATCCCCGCTCGGGGGCGCATGGCATGGGCAGCCTGACGAACCTCTGAAACCGTGATAATGTTCAGGGGGTCCTGGCGGGCCTCTTCACGAGCCACCCAAAAGGCGTCCAATATTTTGGTTTCTTGCGCCGGCCCAGAGGCCCAGAGATCGCGAGCAACTCTGGCCTTGACATCCGCGATGTCCCCGGGGTGAAAGAGCACCTGCCGGCCAACGGTAACTTCGCCCATTGGCAGCGGGCCCTGGCGCGTCGAATGGCGCAGTGCTCCAGAAGCGACGGGCGTGGCCATCCAGTCGCGAAGCTCAGCCATTAAGGCGCGCAGCGCGCGACGTCGGCAGCGCGCTGCCACTCGCCTAGCCGCCCGCGCAAAATCGTTAAGTTTCTGCTGGTCTTCCGAAGCCCCTTGCAAGAGCATGCTTTTCCACGCGTCCCACGCAGGGCCCCCCCCCTGCCCCCCCCCCCCCCCCCCCGAAAGCCCCCATGAGCCAGATCAGGTGTCCCTGCCGACAAATTGCGACAAGAGGTTTCCTATTGCAGCTGCTGGGTATAGCCGTTTCCACGTGTGCCTACGTGATGACTGTTGAGTCTTTGCAATGCCGCGTGGGCCCTCTCCCACCGAGAGGCGACCCAATCCCGACGCGGTACTAGCCCACCCTTGTTTGGTACACGCTCATCGACCACGCTGATGGAATAACCTCGGCCCCTCGAAATCGAGGGAGGGCCGTCCGCGCCGCGGCGCTCGTGCACCGTCCTTTCCAACGCCGTCGCCCATGAGGCGCGGGGCCGAAGCGGGGCCCGCGGACGAGCGTTCAAGCCTAGCGGTTACGGACGATGCAACGGCGCCAGGGGTGGGCGCTGATGCTCGGGGATGTACCCGACGGCCGCCCTGGACAGGATCCAGGTCTTGGCTGGGATAAAGAAGCTGGCCTCGCTGTTCCCCAAACCCTGGGGGGCGGCTCTGGAAACCCGCCGGGGAGGGTGATCGACTCGTTGGAAACGGACAGTGTACGGGCGTCCACCAGAGGTGTCAATCCCGATTCAATGCTCGGAGTATCTTTGAGGAAAGCGAAGAACTGGCGCATCGGGCTTCCAGACAAAAGCACGAGAGTCGGGCTCCACCCCGCAGGGATCAGCTTCGGCACTCATTCCGCTATCCACGACGGCGTGGCTAGCAGGGGTCATAACCGCAGCCGCTCCCAGGCGTGAACAGTTCACGCTGCACTGCGAAGACGTAAAGGGCCCCGCCCCACTGGGCGCGGCCCCAGCCTGCCCACCCTCCACCGCGACGGTGTGAAAGACAGTCTGCGAAGCATCGGCATTCGCCAGATAAGTCTCTGCTGGTACAGGGCAAGGCAGTGGGCTTCATGGCCTCGCTGGGGACTGCCTCGGACGGCCTACCTCCTCCCGCGACGGCGTGGCCCGAGGTGCGCGTGTCCTTCGCCAGTCCCAGGTTAGCACCAGGGCCGGACCCAAGGCAGAAGCAATATTCGTCGGCCTAGGGATCCTTCCATTCAAAACCATCGAGGAGATCGCCAGAGGGGTCCTCACCAGGCCGATTTCATTCGTCGACATCTGGATCCGAGACCAGGGCCGATGTGCTGGCTGAGCTGCTACCGGCGGTCTCGGACCCTGCAGTCTTCCACGAGTCACCGTTCATTTCGCGATGCCGATCTCGACGCTTGTCCACGGCAAGCTGGGTTGTGACAGCGCGGTCAGCTGTGGCCTTTTGCGACTTGGATCCTGGCGCGGGCCCCCTGGCGGGCCTCGACGCCTGGGGTAGCTTCGCTGGAATCTCGAGGCGTTGTGTGAGGAGCTGGCGAGCCGACGATCGCAAGGTTAGCTGCAGCCCACAATGCGTCTTCGAAACAACTGCCGGCGCCGCCTGCGCCTGCACTAGGCGCGCGGCGGCAACGAAACTTCGAACGACAACATCGATGTGACTCTCGCTTTCTCCTGCATTGCACGTGTAATCGATTGGGGCCTTGACGACCTCGCCACCGACGCGCGACAAGAAACCATGTGCGGCGAGAGCCGTCGATGGAACGTTAAGTCCCCCACCGCGATGCGCGGAAGCTGGGGCGCTGCTAGAAAGACGCCGGGCTTCGCAAAACGACAGATACTATCATCGGCTGATGTGAAACCTTAGGGAATTATTATCGCGACCGAGTAGCCCGAGAAATGAGCCGCCGCTGCGAAGCCATCAGTGGCCGACTGGCGGTCGAATTGATACTCTGTGAGCAACAGCCGAGGAGCGAGGGGGTGCACCTGAAAATGGCCTGGCGCCAGAATCCACTCGCCACCCTCGGTGGCCTTATCAAAACCCCGTTCAGTCGTCGACTTCCCAGTGGCCCTGCCTGGGTTGGCTATCAAACTTCAGCAAGACTGACACGACTTCTTCGTCCATTCGCGCAAGGAAGTACGAGAGACATGAGTCTCAGCAAAGCACATCTGGTGGTTATCGTTTTCACGGGCCCTACGAATGAAGTTCCACACTTTTTCCCCCGTGGCAATGACGCTGCCAAATAGAAGCTGCGTGTGCTCATTCTTGCCCGCCGAATCTAGAGCCACACCTAGTCAACTCGAAGTACCATCTGCCTTCGATGAATGGTGAAGATGCTGCTGCACGCGGAAACGGTCGATGAACCGTTGTCGGTCTTGCTCGGCCACGTGTGCGTCGCAGTGAGGATCCCAGATGAGTTTGGCGGGCTCGTGGAAGCCCTGCGGGACCACTTCGTTGACGGGAGCGGCGTTGCAGCCGACGATCCCCTTAGCCCGAATCGCCGTCTAGTCCTGGCCCTGCCCGAAAGACTCCAACAGGATGGACAGCATCTTATTCGTGGGCATCTCCTGGCGAATCTGGCGAGGTGCTTTGTTGGGGCCCACGTGGAGGGGGGCCGTCAGAGCCACCGCTGCCAGAATAGTCAGGAACCATCTGGAAGAAAAGAATCGTGTCGAGCGAAAAACAATCGTGTATCGTGGCGGAGTGCGGGCGCGGCCGCGAAAGTTGCTACGGAGCACGGGGGCTTTGAGCCCAAACTGCGGGGCTCTCAGCCCCCTGAAAGCCCGAACGGGCTCTAAAAGAGCCTTGAGCCAAAATGGCTTGAGCCAAGATGGCTACCGGGGAGAAGGAGGAGGAGGAGGAGGAGGAGGAGGAGGAGGAGGAGGAGGAGGAGGAGGAGGAGGAGGAGGAGGAGGAGGAGGAGGAGGAGGAGGAGGAGGAGGAGGAGGAGGAGGAGGAGGAGGAGGAGGTGAGGTGCGGCAAGTATGCGCCACCTTGGCGCAGTGGCGACACCATCGCGGACGTTCAAGGCTGAGCGCCGCTGGTGGCCCCGAATCGGCCAGTATCGGACGATCTTCGCTAACGGAACCCTGGAAAGCCGAGTCGCCTACGGCAGGTCCGTGTCGTGCCGACTTCGGCGTTGCTTCTGACCCCGTGGGGATCGCTCAACCTTGCACGATCGGCCGATTTCGAGAAGTCAAATCTCTCAACTTCGACCGACACCAGGTCGCCGGCGGCGTTCAACGTTGACCGCCAGCGGCCGGGTTGCCGGTCGACAACCCATCGTACAGTGCGGGCGCGGTCGCAAGAAACCCTTGCAAGAAACACAACCCTGAAAACCTGCGCGCGAGGTGCACCCGAGGGAGAAAACGCGGAGCGCCCTGCACGCAGCAGCTCCTCTGACGGCCGAGGGAAGTCACCGCGCAGCGCGCGAAGCGAAGAAACCCAGGGTACCCCGACGAGCAGCCAATGGCTTCTGGATGCGCGCCCCCACCGTACCCTCCGTCTTCGCACAGCGGCTGCCTGCCGCTGGGGCTCTCCGTGCCGGGCCGCGGCGTGCGCGGGAGCCCGCCGGCGCATCCGCCGGGGGGCTGCAAGGACCCCCTTCCTCCTCCCCTTATAATTACCCCACTCCCTCCTCCACCTCCTTCCTTCTCCTCGTCACTTCCCCTCCTCCCTCCTTGCCTCCCTCCCTCCCCCCCCCTCCCTCCCTCCTCCCTGCCACAGGAAGAGAACGATGAGAAGGACGAGGAGGAAGAGCCTCTCCCCGCCGGCAACGGCAATCGCCCGCCGCCCGTCCTTGTCGCCGGACCCCTGCGCCGACTGGTGGTGCTGCTGCGCCGACTGCATCTGCATCGACTGCATCTGCATCGACTGCGCCTGCATCGACTGCTGCGGCGGCGCGGCCTGGGGCGCCGTCGAGGGGAGGGGGCGAGGAGGAGGAGGAGGAGGAGGAGGAGGAGGAGGAGGAGGAGGAGGAGGAGGAGGAACCCGGCCCCTTCCTCCCGCTCCGTGATTTCATTGGTTCCTGGTCCTCCCCCTCCCTCGGGGTCGGGTTCCCGGGGCCGCCGTCTGAGTGCCCGCACGGCCCTGACGGGCCGCTGCGGTGCGTTCCGCGCCCGCGGGGCGCACGACAAGACGCTGCCTAGCGAGAAACGGCAGAAACGGCAGGAGGAGGAGGCGGAGGAGGGGCGCCGTCGAGGGGGGGGAGGGGCGAGGAGGAGGAGGAGGGGGAGGGGGAGGAGGAGGGCAGGGATGGATTGATCGACCGAGCGGTCGGGCCGAGCTCTGGGCTGCCCCGCGTCGACCGAGGCGGCGTGGCACCGAGACACCTGCCCGGTGCACGCCACACGGAGCTCTGGCCCTGCCCGCACCGGCCCTACCCGCGCAGAGGTCTGCGGGCGGGGTGCCACCTCGCTCCTCCCGGATGCCCGCTGGCCCGCCTCCCCTCTCCCTGGCCCTTGCCAGGGCCACCTCATCCCCGTCCATGTGCTTTCTCAGGGTCCTGGAGTCGGGAGTGTCTGCGCAGTCGTAAGAATCAGCACGAGAGGGAGGAGGAAGATGTGGAGGAGGAAGGAGGGCGAGGAGGGGTGGGGACGAGGAGAGTGGGGGACGAGGGAAGACGAGGGCGAGGCGGAGGGAACCGAGAGGAGGGAGGAGGGAGAAGGACGAAAAGGAGGAGGTGGGGGGACGAGGAGAGGGAGGAGGGATGAGAGGGGGGAAGAGAAAGGGGGGGAGGAGGAGGGGGGGGGGGGAAGAGGAAGCGGGGGGGAGGAAGCGGGGGGGGGGAAGCTGGCGGGGCATGGAGGGAGGACCATCGAGTAGACCCAGGATGCATCAGCGATGCTGCAGTGCACCCTCCCGTCGCAGAAGGCCCCCTCTCCCCAGGGGTCTCTGCAGGCCTTCCCCTGTGAACGGCAGGGAGAAGCGCCCCCTTCGAGAGACCAGCGCCCTCGGGGCCTGTCGTTCGGGCGAGCGCCCGGCGTGGGACAGTAACTGCCCTGCAGCCTTCTGGCCAGTACACTCGGGGCGTTGATCGAAGGAGCGATGGCTAAGGAACAGGGCCCCTTTTTTCTCTCTCCATGAGTTAAGCTTCGATTTCCCATCGAAAGCCGAAGGACAACCTACGGCAATGTTGTAAAACAACGAAGGGGCACTGCGCCCCTCCCAAACGAAAAGGGTTCCTTCTTCAGCGCCCCGGCTGTATTGAACAGGACTTGCCTTGCATCCTTCTGGCCAGTAATCCGCCGACCCACGTTTGCTGGGGGTGACAAGGCGTGTGAGCTGCTCCTCTCCTCCTTTCCCCTTCTCCTGCGGTCGAACATCGCGTTTGGAGGGGGTCGGGGGGCGGGACTCCCCCAAGATGCCCAAGTCATTGATTTTCCATGGTTTTGAGCGTTCTCGCCTTTTCGGGCTACCGGTGCTCCTAGACGGTCCAGGAGGCCCCCAATATCGCCCCAAGGTGGCCCAGGACACTTCCAAATCAAATTCGGAGAGCTCCGAAAAGACTCCAGAGGCCCCCAGCATGGCTGAAGACGGCCCCAACTGAGCCCCAAGAGGGGGAACGCGAACCGATATTTTGATCTCTTTGTTTGCCCCGAGACGACTGAGACCGCCAGCAGGCCCCCAAGAAGCCCCCCCAGAAAGCCGCAGGGAGCCCTCAAGAGCCTCAAAAGAGGCCTTCAGCGGCCCCCCAAATGCTTCCAAGAGGCCCCCAAGACACTCCCAAGCTGCTTCTCATAAGACAAGATGAACACGCATACTTGTCATTATACGCTGACACCTGCGGGGCTTTCGGGTCGTGAGCTGGCTCCCTTCTGTGCCCCACCCCCTGAAACCCGCCCCGAGCACCTTCCCCCAGAACCTTGAAATCCTAACCGTCATCCTTATCCTCCTCCTCCTCCTCCTCGTCCTCCCCCTCCTCCTCCTCCTCCTCCTCCTCCTCCTCCTCCTCCTCCTCCTCCTTCTTACTCTCACCAGTACTATTGTCCATTGCATCATCTTTCTTCTCCTCCCTCGTTCTCAGGGGGTCGGCGGGGTCCCTCATTCTCAGGGGGTCGGCGGAGTTGCGTAGGCCTCTCGAATGGGAAATGCGAGAGAGGTATGACCAGAAGACGCAGCGAAGTGTTCAGCGAAAACCCCACTCTGAAGAATGACTGCCCCACCATTCGTGCAATTGTTGTACAAGCCGAAACTTTTGGTCATTAGATTGGAGGTATGAGGCCAGAGCCCCATTTTGAAAAGGAGCTGCATCCATCCGCGGAACTGAAACATCTATTCAAGCTTCTGGCCTGTCAGCCCCATTTTCACACTTAATCGTCCTCCTTGTGAGTGGCGCAAGCGCTAAACACGCATGTGCTCAGCGCTGAGGCGACAGCCCCATGCTGAAAACAACCCCCATCCGTCCCTGCACATGCTGCAGATGTTTAAAACGAATGTGCGTGGCGCTGGGGCTAGAACACCATTTTTGAAACAACCCACGTCATTATCTGTAGCTGTTGCAAGTTTTTGGAACGAATGTGCGCATCGCTAAGGCGAGGGCCCCATTAAACACCACACATTGATCCTCATACATGCTGCAAATTTACAGAATCTCGGGGGCATAGATGACAAAGACATCTCAAACGACACGCGTAGCCCGCCCTACTGACACGTCTGGGGTTGCGACAGGGAGGAGTTCTCTAGAAGGAAAAGGGACCGAGGATGTGTTGGGAAATACGCCCGCGATGGTGCTGCTGCTGCTGCTGAAAAAAGATGATGGCGAAGCTGGTGTTCATGATGCTATTCATGATGCTGATGCTGATGTTGATGATGTTGGTTATGATGATAACGATTCGTGGTGCTGCTGATGATGCTGCTGATGATGATCACGGTGGTGACGACGATGCTGGTGACGTTGGTGATGATGATGATGATACGGATGCTGATTATGCTGATGATGCTGATGACGATGATGATGATTATGACGACGACGACGACGATGACGATGACGATGATGATGATGATGCTGATGATGATGATGATGATGAGGATGATGATGAGTATGCTGATGCTGATGCTGATGATGAGGGCAAGAGGGTGATGGCACGCCAACAGGTGCAATGGATGGTATCATGAGCTCGAGAAGAACGAGTAGGGACGGACGATCACACGAACCTTTCTCTCTCTCAATCCCTTCATTCATGGGTTCTGCCTCGATGTTTAAGGCCTCTGGGCCCCAAATCTGCTCCAGGCCGACCACTCGCGTTTATTTCCTGATCAATGTGCCTCCCCCCAGAGACAAGACGAGAGTTCATGGTATCCAATCCAAGCCGACGATGCGCCTACGAAGTGGTTTGCCTCCAGCAATAATTCACTCTGAGCATGACAATAATATTTCCTGCCAGTACTGCGACGAAGGGACCTGCAGCTCACTGTCGAGAAGGAAAGGGCTTGAAATATGCAGTGAACTGCTCGTCGCCCCTGCTCGTGTACCCTGGGAAGTGAATGGTGAAGGCGCCCAGCGATTGCAATCCATCCGAGACGGAGAGACAGCAGGGTCCTGAGTCGAGCTCGTACTCAAAACATGCTGGTATGTCACGTCCACCGCCAGTCTTTGAGGCACATGCTGCTCCACTCCGAAAGCTCCTGCCGCTGAGAATTGCAGCATGCGTTTGCGTCAGCTCGTGCCACCTGCCCTTCTCCGCAGAATCGTAACTGGGTTGGGCACTCTCCAGGGATGAACGGGCACAATGTTCAACCAGTTACGCAAATTTGGGGCGGAGGCCACGGTGCCTGGTGGCCGCTCTGGAGGTAAACTCATCCTGCGACCGTAGCCCCAGCGAGCCCGGGCCACGAAGAGGTCCCCGGACCTAGATCTAAGGAACGGCTGGAGAGCCAGAACATCTCCAGAGCCCAGAACGGCCCTTGTCTCCGAATCTTGATGCTATCCCTCGCTCACAGAAACTCATTGACATATGTGTGAGCCTCACAAGTCCCGGTCCACCGAGGCCGAACAAGGCCGAGAGACGCCCGACGCGTGTGCTCATCCCCGTTACGTAAGCTGGAGTCGCTTGGCGCCTCGTTGAACTCAGGGACCTGCTCGATCTTGTGCACCTGCGCCTTGCAAATGCACTCTAAACGAAGAACAGCAGTCGTCATACCCACAACAACACTCACAAGGCCCGCATTAACTTACGTGGCTACGATGTGGGCCCAGCTGGGCCATCGAGAATCTGGCCACCATTGAACAAACATATGCGATCCACGGGACGAAGTGTGGGTGGGAGGGGGTCTGCTTCCGCACTTCTCTGAGGATCAAGACTGCGCACTGCAGCGGGGAGAGGAGCGCGACAACCCGGGACGACTTGTTCTGCTTGCCCGCGCCGGCCTTCTCCAAAACGACGGCGGCGCCTCCCCGCACCCTCGTTCCTGTGTCGACCCGTCAGAACTCGTCGGCGTGAAGCGCTGCCTCCTCCCTCCTCCTCGTACTGCTGCTTCTCCTTCTGCGGCTCCTCCTGCTCCTACTGCTCCTCCTCATCATCCTCCCCATTCTTCGCACTCCTCCTCGCCCCAACCCTCCCGACAGATGCGCGCGAAAATGAATGCTCGACATCGGCATTCGGAGCTGCCAAGGCAGGGAACACGAAGGCTTCAGACTGATCTGGGCCCTCGCATCTTGGCCGATACCCAGAGTCGTCGAGCTTCTCGCATAACAACATGGCGAAACTCCCCCGCCAGTTCTGCCAGCGCCCACATACCGTGCATGCAGCGGATAACACGTTAGAAGAAGCAAAGACTGCATGAACAGAAACTTTCGGAGGTTCACGCGGATTTCTTGGATCTGCGCTGGACCCCTCCCAAGGCGCGCGGAACGCGCCGGGGCGGCACCAGAGGTGCAGCCAGGGTCCAAAGTCGATCCAGCAAATCCGCGTGGATATCCGAGAGTCCCCATGCCGAACTCATCCTGTTCTGTGCGTGTAGCTCAGATCGAAGCTCGGGGGACGATCTTTGCGTGGGACGTGCCTGGCCCTTTCCTTGGGCCTCCTGCGGCCTCCTCGGGGTCCCCCTGGCGGCCCTGCGGAGACCTCCCGAGGCCCGCCCAGAGACCTGCGGAGCCCTCGGGGGGGAGAGGAGGATGAGGAGGAGGAGGAGGAGGAGGAGGAGGAGGAGCAGGAGGAGGAGGAGGATAATGGAGGATGGAGGATGGAGGAGGAGGATGAATGCGAATGAGAATGCGCTGGGGCGATGTCTGAAAGCTGAAGCACAACACATGCCACCGCCTGTGCGGGTTACAGTAACCCTACCGATCTCTGCCACTTGAGCGGCCGCAGGCGTGACTCACACGCTCGGGCCTAAAGCGCCCCGTTGGGGGCTCCTTTGGCACTCACGTGCCCTGCAAACAACATGTCAGAAGAGGCGGAGAGGAGGAGGATGAAGATGAAGATGAAGAGGAGGATGAAGATGAAGATGAAGATGAAGATGAAGATGAAAATGAAGATGAAGATGAAGATGAAGATGAATATGATGATGATGAAGCTGATGATGATGCTGATGATGATGATGCTGATGGTGATGATGATGATGATGCTGATGCTGATGATGCTGATGATGATGATGATGCTGATGCTGATGATGATGATGCTGATGACGCTGATGATGATGATGCTGCTGATGATGATAATGATGATGATGCTGCTGATGAGGATGAGGATGAGGAGGAGGAAGAGGAAGGACCCTGCGGAGACCTCCCGAGGCCCGCCAAAAAGAGCCGCGGAGCCGTCGGGGGGGTGGGGCTCACCTCCGTGGACCTCGAAAGGCATGCCCTGGCTGGAAGGCCGATACATCGGCCGCGGTGGCCGCCCGCACGGGGCCGAAACCACAGAGGGGTCGGAAGATCGCGCCGTACTGCCGACGCATCGGCGACGCCTCGGCGATGCATCGGCAGGACAGCCCAGAATCGAATCGACAAGTCGGATCGGCGATCGAAAGGAATCGGATCGGCGGAAATCGGCAGCCGAGTCGGGAAAAGTCGAATCGGCGGACATCGGCAAGCCAATGTGCCTCCAATGAGAAATCGGAATCCCAAGTCGAATCGAATCGGAATTAGAAACACTCGAAATCGAATCGAATCGAAGGGGTCGAAATGAGGCCTGCATCGGCGAAGCAGGGATCGTCTGGATGGTCCTTCGAGGCCAGTCCGAGGATTTCCAGCGGCCCGCGATGGAGGCCCCCCCAGAGGTGGCCGAGCAGATGGGGTCGGAGGATCGCGCCGCATCGTCGGCGTACGATGTGTTGGCGATGCATCGGCGAAGCCAGCGCGGAGAACGTCGGGCTCCGTACCGAGCGGCATCGCCGATGCATTGGCGATGCGCCGCGATCCTCAGACCCCGACTACTTCGCCCTTATGTGGGCGACGTGCGTCGTGGAAACAAGACGAAGGCAAGATGACGATACATTCGGGTGAGGGTGATACACAGGGAATCACAGATAACTGGCGGTTCTAGATGATCTATCGGGCGCCGCGGCCGTTCCAGAGCGCTCTCGAACGCTATGGAAGCGATCCGAGATGCCCTGGAGCGACTCATCCTCATCATAGGCTTGCCCAAGGTTGCCCGTCCAATGCGAAGCAATGCCAAGCAACGCGAAGCTATGCCAGGCAACTCCACGCAATGCAATGCAATGTCAAGCAATACCAACCAGTGCTAGTCAATGCCAAGCAACGCCAGGCACTGCAAATCAACGCACCACAATGCCAAGCAACGCCAAGCAATGTCAAGCACCGCCAGGCAATACCAAACAATGCCAAGCACGGCAAAGCGACGCCAACACATGCCAAGCAACAGTTCCAAGCAACGCTTCCAAACAACGATTCCAAGCAATGATCCACAGCAATGCCAACCAACGCCAAGCAGTGCCAAGCAATGTCAGTCAACGCCAAGCAGTGCTTTGCATTGCATTGCTTCGCATTGCATTGCTTCGAACTGCTTTGGGTTGCGTTGGACGACAGTCCCACATTGAAATCGCGCCAGGCTCATTTTTCGATACGGGGACCCTGGACATCCCCACCCTTTCCCCGAGGCTGGCTTTGCATCCCAAATCGTGTCTTGCTGGTTCCTGGACCTGGTGAGGGCCCCCAGTAACCGAAAGCGACAACCAAACGCCGTCTTGATTTTTAATCCGGCTGCTGGATGTCTGGGGAGGAGGAGGAGGACGAAGAGGAGGAGGAGGAGGAGGAGGAGGAGGAGGAGGAGAGGGAGGAGGAGGAGAGGGAGGAGGAGAGGAGAGGAGGAGGAGGAGGAGGAGGAGGAGGAGGAGGAGGAGGATGAGAGGAGGAGGAGGAGGTGGAGGAGGAGGAGGGGGAGGAGGAGGAGGAGGAGGAGAGGAGGAGGAGGAGGAGGAGGAGGAACAACACTGCCACAAGAGGAAATCAGAGAGGGTCATGAGAAAGCTCCACTGGAGGAGCGGGAAACAAGAGGAAGAGGCTGAGGAGAAAGAGGGTGTACAGGGGGAGGGAAGAAGAAGGTAAGATAAGACTCGACTGTGGGCCCGCAACTCTCGTTCTGTTTCTGGATGGCGGCAGCAACGGGGCAGGGAGACCTGCCAGAGCACCTGCGCTCAACGCGGGCCGAACATGTACGGAGCGTTTAAATCAAGGGGTCACGATCCAAACGAAATCTTTCAAATCAGAGAGTGCACCCGTCCGGACGACAATCAATTGCCACGAAGAGGAAGAGGAGGAAGGAGGAAGGAGGGGCAATCCCCTCCCTCCTTCGGCAGCACTGGCGGTGCCCTCCGCCGTGCCGTCGCTGAGCTTTGAGATGCTGCGGGCGGTGGGGCGCACCGGGGCCTCTTCCACCCTCCACAGTCCTCCTCGTCCTCCTCGTCCCCCCTCCTTCTCCTCGCCCCCCCTCCAACTCCCTCCTCCTCTCTCCTCCACCTTCCTCGACCCTCCACCCTCATCCAAATTTCTACACTCCCTCTCCTCTGCCTCCTCCTCCTTCTTCCTCCCTCTTCGTCGTCGTCGTCGTCCTCCTCCTCCTCCTCCTCCTCCTCCAACGGAAGACCTCCATGCCCCTCCTCCTCCACCCTCCTCTTCGTCGTCATCCCTGCTGCTCGTCACCCTTCCTTCTCGTCATCCCTCCTCCTCTCCCATTCCTCCTCCTTCTCGTTCTCATCCCTTATTTTCCTCCTCCTCCTCCTCGTCCTCCGCCTGCAATTCCCTCCAACTCCCCCGCTATTTGTCAGGTGCTAAAATTTTTGACCATCGGCGGAGAGTTCCATAGCTGGTCCCGCGTGCCGCGGACGATCGATTAGGATGCAAATATGCCCTGACGCGCGAGCCTTCGTGAACTCTCTGGGATGACCGGCCAACGAAGCAAGAGCGGCAGCCTTGGATAAGGAGTCCCAGGGCCACGCCGCGTCAAAGCGAGAACGAATGCAATGGAGCATCGAAGATAACAAAGATGACAGTGACAATCTCAAGTGACCCATGCGGAATGATTGAGCTGTGAGTGGATCCAAGTCGAAATGATTTCCAGGCCTATTCGGTATGGGACGGAATAACTATCACACCCTTTTCAATATATATATATATATATACACATACCTATATATACATATATATATATATATATAGAAATAATATTGTTACGGGGTACGAGCCCATCGTATTCGGACCGCTTTCTGACCGATAATCCGTCGCTAAGATTCTACGGGGAAGTCGGGGGGGGTCCAAAGCTTGACGTCTTATGGTCAAAACTATAGCACCCCTCGTGTATGTTGTGGAAACATGCTTAGCTGAGAATCGTCGCCGCCAGCCCCGGCAAACCCTTGCAAGCAACGCCAAGCGTGTTGGAAGCGAGCGGGCACGCTCGGAGTGAGCTTCCTGGCGTCAGCGCTGGCAACGATATGATCACTGCGTGTGATCGGGCACGTATGGAGTGAGTTTCTTGGCAGAAGTTCTGGTCAGACGATGTGCGGCATGAACAAGCAAACGCGTTCGGAACAGTTAGTCTGGCGAAAGACCCAACCATATACATCTGTGAGCGTCGCAAGGCAAGTGGGCCGAAAGAGAATACTCATGGGGCCGCGACACGTGTGAACGGTGTGCCAAAACGGGCGCGAGTGCGCCATTCGAGCTCTTGCTTTTGGGCCTCAGCTGGAGTTCTCTGTGGGGCCGCGAAACCTGTGAAAATAATCTCGGGGTGGCATTAATCCGTTACGGCTGGTCCGTTAGAGTGGGCCTGAGAAAATGATGGGGCTTCAAAAACGTGGCAGGGGCGAGCGACATGAACCCATGATTGCATCGGCGTTCTGTGGAGTTCCCATGGGGCTTGAAAAGCGTGGCAGGGGCGAACGACATGAACCCACGATTGCGTGCGGACATTTTGTTCCGGCCGTCTGTGGAGCTCCTATGGGGCCAGAAAAGCGCGGCAAGGGCGAACGACATGAGCCCACGCAACACCAGCGATGATTAAATGGAGTATCCATATCCGAGCAGCACGGACAAATAGGCTGCGGGTCATAGTTCCGTCCGGAGAGAACCCCACCTGTACTAAGGGAACCAAGAATGTAGTGCCTTATGCTCGTCTATTCCTCTAGGGCGAACTTTTTCCGAACATGTCTGAGGCCGCGACGGGCCCGAACCCAGTCCACAACCCGTTCCTGGCCCGCGGGCAAAAGAGGTGGAGGAGGGAGTGTGCCGAGTTACTTCCCTATGCCCTGCTGTGACATCTGATATTTGCGGTCCGCCGAAACCATGCGTGAGATGGCGTCCGGCGAAATTTCCAGCATGCTCAGACCAGGACTAAGTCGATGGACCAAGGTCGCCCAAACCTGAAAATGCAAGCCTGCTTCTTGAGGCTAGATTTGCATGTCCGACATTGGTCCAGTGGATCTTCCAAGCCAAGAAATATTGGTGGAGTCCTGGGTCGCTGTAGGCGCTGGTGAGAAGAGAGATCGGAGTTCTTTTGGAGTGAACCCATCAGCATGGCCGCCAAACTCTTGCCTGCCCGAAATTGTTCGCCACACTATGTGCAACACCTCTCCAGAAAGGTGCCTGCGAAAACGATCGGATCGGGAGCTGCCGTGATCTGCCACCAGCTGCCCCCTTAAGCTGGCGCCCTGACACGATCGTCGCCGTCGATCTGAATATGTCGATCTCCGTTGGCGTGTAGCCTTGTACCTTACCACCGTAGGTCAGAGCAGAACGCGCACCTGGATCGAAACAACGAGATCGATCCGCGGGCTTCGCTCCTCCAATCTTCCGGTGCCTGCAGGACCGAGAGAGAGTTTGCGTCCAGGACGCCTCCTGTGTTACCCTGGCGCGAAGTCCACGCCTAGATGAGGTGCAGAAGAGATTGGGGCACGTGCAATGTCACCGAGAACTTATGCGGCCTCGTTCGGCAGCGGTCCAGGACAGGCAGTCAGAGCAAGCGTGTCTACTGCTAGTGGAAGGTTGAGCGCCGCGGGGCCCCGCTAAAGCCTGGCCCCGAACCTCCAAACAGCCGTGGTATTTTCACCCGTGCTGAAGTGCCAGGAGCTAGGTTCATCTACGTGGACACACGCTGTTGCAGTATCCTGCGTGCGAGGCGACGCGCCCTCTAGCGCGTGCGTGGCGTGCACTTTGGCCTCCGTCGCCGCCTTTTGAAATCCTGCTGCGATTCCTTTTGATGGGTAGATGGCAGGGCCGACGGCCCCGTCTACGAAGATCCTCCAGGGGATGGCGCGCGCGTATATAATTAGACGCGCGGCGCGCATTTGGCATTGAATTGCCTGCGCGGCTCGGTAGAGCAAATCAGCTTCGACAGCTTATTGAGAACGTGCATTCGATCTATTTGCCCGTCCTTCTGCCCCGACTGCTGCTCTCCAATGCCGCGCCTTCTGCGCCCCTGCCCCTGCCCATTCTGCGCTGCGCCCCCGTGCCCCGCCAGCCCCCCCGCTCCCTGGGGCCCTTTGCGCAGGCGCTGCCCATGCCTCCTCGCAAAGGCCAGGTAGTGGCCAACGGGCCTCCTACCTCCGCCTTTATATTCCCGGCCAACAGCGCGATGCGTTCGCGCGCTTGCCGGGGTGGGGGGGAGGGGCGACGCGCGAAAGCTGGGGGGGGGGGGGCAGCAGATCGCATGCTGCCTTTCGTATGCTGCCCCCCCCCCCCCCCCCCCCCCCCCCCTCTTGCCCCCCCCCGAAGGGCTTCGAGGTGGCAACCGCGGAGTGCAGTTCGTTCCGAGCGGGCGGGCCCCCTGGATCATGCAATCGCGGGGGGAGCTGACTGGCGCAGCAAGATGATGAGGCATGCCATGCGGAACAACTCGTGCTTCTCCTGTCTTCCCAGCCTCGAGGTCGCTGAAAGCCTGTCTCCCAGAACCTTCAGCAGCCTCTGAACGCCGTTGTTTCCACGCTTCGCGCCGCAGAGTTGGTTTCTTCGGGGGCCCTGCTCCATGGGTCAGCTTGCGCAAATCTTCAAGCCCAGAAGAATGCCAACCCCACTGGAGAAATCATGCCACAATGCCTAAACTTCACGAGCCAACTTCCGCAATCGGGCCGCCCTTCTTGGGGGGGTACTGCAGTGACGCAGGGGGTGCATGCCGCCGCTGGGAAGCCTGTCATATTTTGACATGGGCTCACGAATCGCAGAGCATATATTCATGGCCTAAGAAATGGGCCGATGCTGGACATTTTCTGGCATCGTGCTTTGTCGTTGGGAGCTTCGCCAAGGGTTTTGACGTGGGCTGCGCGGGGGCGCCGGGCTGGAGTCCTTCGGGCGACGCCCGGGCCGCCTCCGAGACCCCCCCCGCGCTCGGGATGCCCATTCCTCATGCGATGCTGCGACAATGTCTGAGCCTTGCCGAATTGAAGAATCTTTTTGGACCACTTCAATGGCTATGGAACGTACTATGCAACACAGTGGCAGCAAATAGGGGCAACAGTGCTGGGTCCCACTTGGTGGGGCCCAAGACCTTGCAGCAGATTGTGTTACATCTGCATTGTCTGCATTGGGCTCTTGGGAGGTCCATTTCTGTTCACGCCTCCCGAGGGGTGTGCTGCAGGCGAGCGGCCGGCACACTCCCGAGACAGAACCGAGCCAGGCCCAAGCCATTCGAAGTAGATCTCACGCTCCTAGGGCCAAAGGGTGCTGACCCTCCCGGGGCTTGAAGCCCATCAGTGCGCTGAATCGTTGAACCTTGTCCCGATTCAAAAACTTAGTGAGAAGATCTGCTATCATGTCGTCGGTGTGATTCTTCCTCAGAGACACCTTGAAACGATCCATCGCTTCCTGCGCCCAGAGCCACACAGTGTCGATGTGCTTGGTCTTACCAAGCCCGCGTCGCGAGACCATGCCTATGGCAGCGGTCGCGTCCACGTTCACACTGAGATTATACATAAGATTCCAATCTAAAGCTAACGATCGCAAGCCGCACAACTCACTCATGAGCGTAACTAGGCTATAGTACTCAGCTTCACCACTACTCAACGCTATGACTGACTGGCCACGGCGCCAATGATGCAAGCAATGCAGACCGGCCATGATCGCGCCTCCTGACGTGCTCTTCCGTGTCCTGAGGCAGCCTGCGTGGTCTGCATCGCACCAGCCGTCTAACCATGTGGCCGCTTCCTGGTTCTTGAAGTACTGCACAAGCCTAGGGTTGCCTCGAAGATAGCGCGCAGCATGCTTCAGCAGAGCCACGTGGCGCTCGCAAGGGGCCTGCATCCCCTTGGCCATCTCGCGAACAGCTACACCTAGGTCAGGGCGGTCCTGCGCGACGTACGCCAATCTCATGCACACAGACCGGTACCAAGTGCGCTCCTGCTCTGGGATGGCGAT